CAGAGGTCGGCTTCAATTCAGATTTACGAGCGCTAAACAGTGAGCGTCCCCGGCCTATGCATTTGCAGGCTAGCAGTGCAGTATAGCCAGTTATCTCCATATCACCATTGCATGGAGGTTGAGGACGACCGGTTGTTGATGGTGTGCCCATGAAACAAACCTAAATGTGGATCGCAGCCGCAGTTAGTAACGAGCATGGTCGGCAACCGGCAGGGATCGGAGCTGATGAGAGTCGGCCATTCCTGAAAAGACATCGACGCGCCGCGCGTACGTACTCATCCTATCTTGTCAGGAAACGAAGTGATCGTCAAAGCCCATTACGAGCAGTACGAACCTGAATAAAATCAACAAGTACGCGGTGTGGTGATGAACAACGCAGGCATCAGGCATGCGGTTTATGTGGTTGCCCGGCCGGGTTGCCAAAGCTTTGCTTTGTTCGTCGTCTCCGTGACGTGTGATCAATTCATCCATCTCACATGCTGTTCATGCGTCAGGGCCGGCCCTGAGTTTTTTTTTTTGGGCCCGGGCGAAACCTGGGGCCCTTTAAGTACATGATAGTGACAATACTTATACGTAAAAATACATATGCAATGTCAATGATAAACACATAATTTCATATGCAAAAACAACATTCATACAAAACAATTCATACATATAAATTATCTTTAAAACTTATGGATAGACCCTCTCTGTGATTGTATCAACTCATTTACTCGTGTTTTTTTTCTTTTTTCACTGCCGGAAGCTTACTTTCTTGATGACATGATACTGTTAAAATTTGGAGAACAAATTAGCCAAAAAAAATAACACCAATCTGGTAATTCACATTAACTTAAATCTGAAATTAAATCAATTTTTGTATGGTTGCACCATAATTTTAATTGAGCACGAGCAAAGAATCAGCGATTACGCATTATGCTTCAATGCTATAATGGTGAGGGCACTCCTGCAATCAGTCAAACTCATCCAATATAAATATATAATCATGTTCAATTCCAGAGCATAATAGGCCAGCAGAGGACGTACAAACCTATTCTGATTAAATCGCCGGCGCTGGCATCGGGTTTTTGTGGACTTGGTCTGCATACCTAGATCATACTCACACAGAGCAGAACTGCAGAAGCTTGCTACTTGCGTCTTTTCTTTTTTTGAAAAATGCTACTTGCGTCTTGGTATCTCGGTGAATCGCGTCTTGCGTTGCGTCGCTGTCATCTCATGTGCGTGGTCCGCGGACAGTGATTCGCGTCTCGCATTACCACCGTGCAGGAGGAGTCGAGGTCGAGGAGAGCGCGTATCGGTGTGTTTGTGTCACCCGCGAACTGGCCGGGTGGGGATAGCTTCTCGTGGTCGCAGATGCCAACTGCGTCCTTGGGCAGGCTGACAACGCTGCTGGCCTTGATTGCTAACATGTCAAATGTACATACCTTAGGGTGGGGCCCCTTGGAGTTGGGGGGCCAGGGCGGCCGCCCCGCTTGCCCGCCATGCGTGGTTAAAACTTAAAAGCGAAAGAATTGTGATGCACTGATCCACATATGATGCCCGGTTAAAAGCAAGAGAACTGTTTTTTTTTATGACGATGAGTTCGATGAACACTTGTCGGCCTAGTAACATCTTTCTTGAACGTGTAGTTCCAGGAGGACTTCGCAGCCCAGTGAACTAGTCAGCATAGCTCGGCCCATCCAGGCCTTTCCGTTTACGGGCCAACCCAAAGGCCGAAGCCGTACTGGATCAATCAACCAAAACCCAAGAAGGCCCACGACCACCTTGCCGCCTCCCCAAGACCCCAACCCCAGCGACTCCGACGGCGTTGGTTGAGCCTGCTGGAAATCTTTCTGCTTCGGTTCTCTCCTCGCAGCGGTACTATATTACTCCTCGCAAAGCTCCATAACCCTAGTATGCTAGAGATTTTGATGGGCATACGTATTTGAATCCTCGATTTTGTTCTATCGTTTAGCTGTTGCGAACTTGCGATTTGCAATCTTATTTTCCTATAAAATATATTTTATTAGCCTCAGTATTGAACCTAGGAACCTTTCAGGTTGCAGCTTATATCAGTCTCTAGCGAGGTATAGGCGTTAATCGCTTATGCTCTACTTTCGTGGATGATACACAACCTTACGTCATGTCTGAAAATTGTTGTATTGCTACATTATGTGCTATATATTGGGGTCTTGACTGCACTTTATCCCGTAAGTCCATTCGATTAGACAGAGGAGCGCCTGATTCGTTGGTTTGACAGGACTGAATTATTTAATGAAGCGCCTATTCAATTTGCGAGGTCATAAAACTTCTTCGTAAGTAGTTCAGTACAGTCGATCAGCTGTGTAATGAGTGCTTAGGTCCTCAGCTGTGAAAATGCTTAAACATTGTTTGCAAGGATTCTTGGTGCCGCAACCATCTTGTTGAGCTTTTATGCATATTTCCCTGCTACTGATGCTTAGGTGCATTGTTCCGTGTATCTGCATTAAGTCCTTCTAACTTCTCCACCTGAAGCTGAATTGAACTCTGCAGTAAGTTCACTAGCTAGGAATTTGTAGGCTTGTTGTTTGCCTTTCTTATCAAAATGAATATAAAAAGTTAGATAACCCATTGATATCATTAAATAGTTCCCCGGTGCATGTCGCTGTTTTCTTTTATCATGAACTTTTATTCCCCCTGCTCCTTTTATCACTAGGGGCCATATAATTAACCAAATCACGCTAAATATTTTCTTCACTTTGGTCAAAGGCTGATCTGAAAGAAAGGATATGTGAAGTTGAACGGGGATCTTGATCTATGAGCACAGTGGTACAGCTCACTGATAATCTCAGATTGATCGTGTGAGTCGTGTACTATGCTAATCAGCCCAGGGTTCTGTGTTTTGTCAGGTGTCTACTTTACTATTGATTACGGGTTACCTAGGTGGCTAGGTCTTTCTGCATATGTTTTGCATTTTCTACACTTCACATCTTGCAATATGCAAGGTACTTTCCATTATATTTCGTATCATTAAATTTGAATAATTATGTTGTCTATTTCTATTTGCCAGATGATGGACAGCTCTGCATTTAAAGTCTAGATGTGTGACCTAGTACCTAAGAAATCTTAATGCATGGTGGCCTTGTACCCACTCAAGTTAGGACCAACCACAGGTCATAGCATTTTGTGCTGGCCTTCTCGAGGCCTTAATGTTTCTGGTATGTTTGGTCCTGACTCCTGAACCACGTAGGTTGTTTAATTTTATTTTAGCCTTCTTTGATTGTCTTTGATAATGCTACTGATTCACTTACCTTTATGGATAAAAAATATATTTAAAAAGTTGTCTTTCATAATGATATGCTTTCTCTTTTTGCATGGATAGATTGATTGACTCCTTTTTTTTCAAGCGTGTGATTGATCTACCTTCCTGTTGTGATCCTCATGTGAATTGTCGTTTAGTAGTCGACATCGATATATAAATTTGTGTCCACGTACATCGCACATGCTGAAACAGTAAAGGAAATCTATTGCATAGGAAGGGAGACCAGGATTAGGCTAGCTGCATGGCTGTGAACTGCTGAAGAATTGAGCAAAGGCAAGCACCCTGGCTTCTTAGATTTCTAAGCTGGCATGCAATGCCGATGACATACTTTCTATCAAGTAAAGATGGCAATGGGGACCCGTGACCCGATACCTGATGGATATTTACTCCATTAAGGTCTGAATATGGACTAAACACACTACCCACGGATACATAAATGGACCAAACCCTTCACCCATCGGGTACACGGGTATGGGTATGTTCCAGCAGTCCCCATACCCGTTAACCCAAGGGTGAAATATACCCGGCCCAAAAGTAAAAAAGCCCACCAGCCCATAAGGTAAAACCCTAGGTATATAATCTTATCCCCCATTCCCCACCCCTTCCAACCCTATCCCACCCGCCTGATCCCCCACCGGTGGCCGGGAAAAAAACACCGCTCGCAAAAAACAACGCCGCCGCAAAAAACAACAGTGCCCCCTCGGCCCCTCATCTCGCACCGCATCGCTCCAAATCCAAGGGCCAGGAAGTCGCCACATCCGACCCGACGCCATGCCGGCGACGGAGCAAGGAAGCGTCAACGGAGTGAACGGACGGTGATTCCCTAGTTCCCCTTCCCCTTCATAGTTCATATGCTTTGCAGGCGCAGCCGCGCAGAGGCGCTCCACGCTCGTTGCCTCCTTCTTCCCTGCACTAACCTACTCCTTCACTCCAGCGTCAAGGGACATCGTGGAGGTCCTGGAGGACGGTGACCGCCTGAAGCCATCGGATCCCGTGTTCGTCGACGCCGTGAACACTCTGAAGTTGCAAGATCCGGAGGTCCAAGCTGAAGTTGCAGTAGAGATTATTATATGCTATTATTTGTCTAATTTTATGTGCTCTGTTACTAGTGGTTGCTGTTGAATTGTTGATTTTTATATGCGTAAATAAACTATTGGCGGGTACGGGTGACCCGCCGGGTATGGGTCTGGGGAAAACTCCCCACCCATAGTGGGTATGGGGATTCTGGCGGTCGGGTTTGGGGTGGCCATACCCGACGGGGATTTACCCATTGCCATCCTTACTATCAAGGGACCTACTCTTTTGGGATTCTTAGGATTCAAGTATCCTTCACTGGTCACTTTAATGGTATGAAAGGGAGAAAGGGAAAAAAATACAGATAGAAGGGGAAAAGGCCACTGAATGAGGTAGGGCAAAAAGGGACTCCAATCTAAGGTTGTCTTAATGGCCCAAGAATTATTCAGCTCTGCGATTGTGTGGTGGAATTTGCAGGGCCATCAATTCCGCCAGCCCAATTCGGTCTTCTACTGCTCCACAGGGATGAGTGAATGGTCATGTGAAACTTTTTGCGTGCCTAGCCACACCACCAGGTCCATGAGTAACATTGCTTTAGGTAGAGGGGCGGGACTGGAGGAAAGATGGCTATAAATATCGTGTGATGCAGAGGGGGTCATCTTGTCCTGAAAGCAAAGCCTGGCTGGAAAGAGGGAGGAAGCTGACGATGAAGAGGCTGTTGATCATGCGAAGGTGTGAGCCGATTGTGCGGTTCACGTGCTGCAGCGTGCGCTACGGGGAGTGCCGTCGGAACCATGCGGCGAGCACTGGAGGCTACGCCATCGATGGGTGCCGGGAGTTCATCGCTGAAGGGGAGGAGAGCACCAGTGGTGCTCTCAAGTGCGCGGCCTGCGGTTGCCACCGCAGCTTCCACCGCAGGGTTCAGGTCTATGAGGTTGCATGGGATTACGGATCTGACACGTCGTCGACCGAGTAGAGAGCAGAGAGGGGAGGTGCAAGGCGCTCCGAGCTTGGATTTGTGCTCCTGCAATGGCTAATGCTCAACAATTGGTCTCTTTCTTCTCTGTCTCCGGTGACAAGCTAGCCGGTGGATGTATAGGACCCTCGTGATTGTTTGTAGCGTGTACACCCTGATTTTTTTTGAGAATTTCTTATCTACAGTTTCTTTATTTTCTACACCCTTGTATTTTAATTTGAGTAAAGTACAATAGTACATGCGAGTTCAAATTACCTATTTATTCTTTCCATCTGAATTTTCCTGTGGTTGGAATTAATCCAGATTAGCAGTTGATTTAGACTTCTCTGGCTTCTTGTCCTTGACACTTGTGGTCTTTACTCCCTGTGGCATTCCACACTTCACAGTGAGAATAGTATTTTTGCTGCCCGGCTACACATGTGTGAATAAACGTAGTTTTGTCACTTTGCTGGCTTGCCAGTTTGTTTATCTAAAACAGTGATTTTTTTTTGTCGTGAGAATACGATCAAAGTCAAGGGCGCAAAATGTTCTGCTGCATCAACTAGGCATTTTCGAAATACCACATGGAGACTGAAACCCTATTTTGAATACGAGAATTTTTCCTAGGTGCCTGTATATTGGTCTGTTCTTTGCAAAATAGATAAACATGAGAAATTCCTGTGTTTCAAATGGGCATTGTGCTAGCGTCATACTGCAACTGAAGCTACAAGTACAGGTAGATGAGGTTGATACGAACTGTAAATCACTTCTTTGGTGCCAATGGGTGGAGATTCAGGTCCCTTTGCAACCTAGTCGACACGACTGTTATTTTGACATTTATGTGAAAGGAAAAGTTAGATGAGTTTTCATTCTCCCCGCTGGGCTGGGCTGAACAGCAGCATAAATACGGCCATTTTCAATTCATATTTTGTAAGAGTTCCACTCTCGTTAAACTAGAAGAATACCCTACGCGTTGCTGTGGAAATTGCGGATGAGTTAGAATGAAATTATACTATATATAATTACTTATATGAATAAATAAATTATTATAAATTAATGGTAGTGGATTACGTGGCATGTTGACATCGACAATGGAATGCTTATGTCTTACTGACATGGACTTCACAATTGCTTATGTTCAGTGGGTTTTAATTGCATGTGAACATTGCTAAGGTGGACAGCTTGTATATTGAGAGAAATCGCTAGTGGAGTTTAGGAATATAAGATATATAGATATAGATATAGATAAACATGACAAGAAATTTGTGAAGATAGAGAATTTATATATGAAACCTATACACATTTATCTATACCTTAGAAACTGAGTGAAACCCCACCGTGAGCATATAGTACCAACCTATGTTTTTAAAACTGAAATAAAACCCCATTATGGCCCAATAGATCCACAACAGAATAGAGCAATTAAATGTTATTAGAACATCCCCAAGAGTACCCAAAACAGTCTTCCAATCTAGGATTTTTAGCAAGATTAGAAAACATCCATCTCCAACAACTCCCAACATCAACTCTCAATCTTTTAGCACTTGAAAAAAAGACACCAACACGCGTAAAGATACGCGGAACTGAGCCGCGCGGGTGCCTTCTTTTTCTCCCGGACGGCAACGACGCCCTCTCGCCGCTCTTCCCGGCCACCCGTGCCCGCTCGTACGATGGTCATGATGAGCGCCACGAGGGCCGCCTGGACGGCGCGTTCTAGCTCGAGCTGGATGCCACGAGGGCCGCTCCTACGATGGCCACGAGGGCTGCTCCTTCAAAGTGAAACCATACATTGGAGGCGTTGTTTCATTCACCAACCTAAATCTTCTTTAGATGATATTGTACTTTTGGAAACTGCAAAATAAGACTCTCCCGTAGGTGTCCACGATCAAGAGTTGCTTCTTGCATCTTGATTGGATCAAAGAGGAGCTCAGAGTTGCTGGAATAGTTATTAAAATCGCAATTCTATGGGTGATTTTATGACTTTACAATCTTTGTTTATTAGATTGATTCTACGATTCTATTAGTGGAATCTAAGATTTTACAATCCTAAGAGAGCACGAACTTCCTTGACTCCCATATGCCTCCCTTGTGTAGACCCAATCGCTTATCATGCTTTGTCACGGCGACAGCTAGTGTTAGATCCAAGCGCTACAGTCTCGTCTCGGTAGTATGACAACACTCCTCAACTTTCACAAGCTAGCACCTTCGCCCATGCGTGAGATTCGCCACCACCTCTCCTCCTCGGCCCGTGCTCGAGATCTTTGGATGCATCAACGAGGGAGAGGACAAGGTCAACAAGGTACTACCAATCCTTCTCCTCGGCTTGTGCTACATCGTTATTGGGAGGGAAAAGGAGATCGTGGCTTCAATGGCCTCACTACAAAGATTCACTACTAGGAATATACTAGGAATATCCACTTCTATGATGATCAGCTTTCGTCACTAAAGAAGCTAAATTCATCATAATTTTAGTTTTGTGATGAATTTATGACGAAAAACGGTTCGTTATAGAAGTCGCGTCATTCTTGCAATTCTATGACGATTCTACAAATTCGTCATAGAATTGGATAGATCTATGATGAAAACTGATCGTCATAGAACTGCTTTGGCATGCGTGGAAGGGGGCAGCCATGCTGGCGGGTGCTTCTGTTGGAGATGCTTTCCACGTGTACATGTTATAGCCAGTTGCATTGGAGATGGTTCGGGTACGTGTCACCTTCTTATTGCACAATGTGGCCATCTCTGGTTCTTGCACGTTTGAGGTTCTTACTTGACCACGTGTCCGGACCCTGTTGTTACACATGTTAGTATTCTATTGGCACACGTGTCGTGTTGTGGTTGGGTCATGTGTCACTTCTTCATTGGACCAAGTGTTGTATTTTTATTGGTCCACGTGGCGTGACCACAATACCCCACGTGTCTTTCTTTAACTCGACCACGTGTCTCGATGTTGTATGTCAGCGTATCAGTATTTTATTGGGCCACGTGTCACGCCCTAAGCTATCCATGTGTCTTTTTCTAATTCGACCACGTGGTAGAATTGATTTGTACCATGTATTTGTTTGTATTGGCCCACGTGCCCTGTCGTGGCTGTTACACGTGTCATTCATTGGTTTGTCCATGTGTCAGATTCTTATTTAACATGCCTATGCCGAATCTACCACGTGCACACCAATTATTACATCAGAGAAAATAATTTTAGATCTACACTATTGCACAAAATGGCTACATGCATAATTATATTGAACCTGAATCAAATAACAGCAGTTCAGCTCAGTAGCAAATCACTGACACAGTTCACATATCAAGCCACCAAAATTTCACATCAAACCAGCAAACAAACCACATGTTCACTGCATTAACAAGACTAAGAGTTACTAGCACTTAAGAGCTTGATATGCTCATGGAGCTTATTGTACTCTTCCTATTGCTGTTTCTTAAACTTCTCAAACTACCTATCAGGGTTTTCTGCCTTCCTCTTCAGTTGATCCACTTGTTCGGCAAGGACAACTGAACTTTCCTGATGAGCAACAAGCCATTCCCGAAGTCTAGAGCAGCTTGTCCTGATACCAGCATTCTTCAAAGAAAAGGTGTTGCAGCTGGCCTAGGAGAGGACTTTGGAAACAACATCAGCAACATGTTCTGCTCGTATAGTTTCCATAGCTTCCTGCGAAAACCAAGGAGTAAACATTAGGAAGAGGACTTAAATTGCAGAACCAAGAGATTATTTTAGTACAAGTAATGCATAGGTCTTCCTCAGCCTACTGCCGATAGAGATTCATAAGCACAATGCATAGGTAGCATATTAACTATTATAATATTACAACTTCAAAATGATGGTGCTACTTTAGGCTCCTCCTACTTTTTCTTCTTTTATGCCAATGGCTTTAGCAGATTTTAAGGAAAGCAAATGAAGGTACTTACCACTACTTCTCTTGCAGCATCGCTCAATCCTGTGTTGCTACTGGTATGGAAGTTGTTGAAGATTCCCACTGCATCAACATCTTCATGAGGTCGATCATGTTCTTCAACGAGCACTTCTTGATCATGTCCTGCGTCCTTCCTATTTTTGTCCTTCTATTAAAATTGCACATGCCTTTCTGTTGATACAAAAGGCATTGTGTATTTGATATAAAAAGAGTAACACAACCATCACTTACATATGCTTGCAGGTGGACAATATAAGAGTGAGATCCTTTAACCTGGTGGCACTTGACTTTTGCACGGTTTCGCTTGTTCTGCTCTGAGACTACCTATAACCATAATTGTGCTAGACTGCAGCACAAGTAGACCACATAATGACTAGACAAGAAATAAATGAGTTCACACACACACCTTGTTCTTGGAACTTAACCACATGTGGACAAGTGCACACCACTGTACGTCATTCATGCAAGACACAGGAGAGGTATTTCTGATTTCATCAGCAGGGACGCCGTTGAAGTAAGATCGCTTGAACCTATACCGTGTACATCGTACAACAGACTAGAATATACTTGTGCATACTTCTTTTGTTGCTTCATCATTGTCTTTAATGGCCAGCCTCAACTACAGAAGTGTGAATGCAAATTAAATCCATTACTAAGTTGCTCAAGGAAGAGTTGAATGTCAATAGAGGATATACATACTTACAGATAGCTTGGCCACAAATCCATTGAGATGTTCAATCCGTTGCTTGTAATGTTTCTAGTGTGGGAAAATTGGTACTTGAGACCTAACTACTACACCTGCCTCTGAGGCAAACTTGGCAGCTTGCAATGGATCATGTGGCCTTCTGTTCCCCTTGACAACCAAGATGGGCATCTTTGTTCCCATTGACTGGGTGGTTTTGTGAAGCCCAACCCCCTTAGTTGCTTGCCTCAACTTCCTCGCTCTTCTCTACAATGGTACAACATAGTTTTCATACATTCAGATTGTTAAAAAAGTAACATGGATATCAAATAGTGTGACTTGATTTATAGATATGTCTAAGGTAGTACTAACCTTTGCAAGTTTAGTCATTCTGCTAGTGGGGAGGTGGA